TTATTAAATACTCTTCCTAATTTTTTATCACACTCTCTTATTGACTAAAATATCATAAGAGTTTTTTTTAGATAGATCTCTTTTATGTTTTCTTTAGCTCAGTTCAAACTACTCAACAGCAACAACCCAGTCTGCAAAGATTGTTGACTCTCCTCTAAGATTCGGTAGATCTCGGTAAGAACAACAGTGAAAATAAACTTCAAGATAACTCAGTCGTTAATTTTTTTGTTTTTTTTTTTTTATTTTTGTTGTTTTTTTTATATTTTTTTTTGTTTTTTTGTTTATTTTTTTTTTTTTTTTTATATTAATGTAAAATCTACAAAATAAATGAAGTAAGAAGCTTCTACAGTAGCATTACACTAAGTGTATACAATAAAATATATGAAATCTGCTTTGTCATGTTGCATTTGAACCTTCTGAAGTTATGCAGTTTTGAACACACAAAAGAAAAAGAAACATGTTACCCAGCAGACTCATTTATTGAAGACAGCATTCCTCATTAACACAGCTACAATAACGGTGTTATTAAACTCTTCTCACCTCTTCAAACATAGGTCAAAGTTGCAACCACCCACATTATAATCCGAAACCAAATCTAAAATTTCGGAGTGCATTTCATAGCATGTAATGACCAATGACCAACTAATCCCAAGCTAAGTATTATAAATAGTATGATTATGCAACAACTATGACTCAAGCCTTAACACCATGACAAAGGGTTCTATTCTGCACTCTGCACTTTTGTGCTTCTGGGTTCCCTTGTTGCTCCTTGTCACCTTCAGTTATGCTACTTCTGCTTTGGCCACAACTCAAATTTCAGGTTTACACATTACTCCTTTTTAGGCTTTTATACGACGTTTTCTTTTCTGTAACGTGTCAATAAGGTTTCAAACACATTGAAAATACCAATTTTTCATTATACAAATCATTCTCATTTCTGTATATGATGTTTGTTTGTCATTCTTGCATAAAAAATGTGTTCCTTTTAATAACCACATTTAAAAACCAGTATGACTTTTTTTAGACACTAATTTTAGATACTGACATAATATAAGACCAGTGTTTGTGTGTGTATTAATTAACTAATATTTTTTTTTTCCTTTTTTATGCAGGAAATGAAGTGAACAAGAATGGGATGGTTGTGAATGAAGATTTAGAAAAGGTAAATCCAGAAGGATATGGTGATGAAGAATCAAAGTTCAAAGGATTGTTTCCTAAACCAATTCCATTTGCTAAACCTATTCCAAAGCCACTTCCTCTCATCAAACCTATTCCAATTCCATTGTATAAGAAACCAACACCAAAACCGATTCCCAGTGAAGAAGCAAAATTCAAAGGTATTTTCCCAAAACCTATTCCCAAAGTTAAGACAATACCAAAGATAATTCCTGTTGTTAAGCCTGTTTCTGTTCCAGTTGTTAAGCCTATTCCTATTCTTAAACCTATTCCAAAACCATTTGTTAAGCCTATTCCTATTCTTAAACCCGTTCCTAAACCCTTTGTTAAGCCAATTCCTATTCTTAAACCCGTTCCAAAACCATTCGTTAAGCCAATTCCTATTCTTAAACCTGTTCCAAAGCCAATTGTTAAGCCAATTCCTGTTCTTAAACCTGTTCCAGAACCTTTCGTTAAGCCAATTCCTAAGCCTATCCCTACCATTGAGTCAGAGGAATTCTTAAAACCAAAGCCTTTCTTGAAGAAGTCTATTCCTAAACTACCATTTGATCCCAAATTCAAGAAACCATTTCCGCCAATTCCAACTCCATAGAATGATGATAACACCCATTGCACCTCATTAGCAATAAAGTTATTATATCTTCCCTTACTGAGTGTGTTGATTTATATTCCAATCACAACCATTAGTTTCTTAATCCTATTGTATCCCTCTCCTTAATAAAATTTACGTCACTATTACCCTTTGTAAAATTATTATCTTAAAGTAAGAAATGATATTACTGATTTCTCATTTTAGTTTATTGCTTTTGTTCTTTAGAATTTGTTTCCTAATGTTGTGAACGTTCTCCATTAATCAGCTCTTGGGTTTGAAAACAAAATCATTTTTGTTTTATATTTTATAACAAAGCATAACTACTAATCATTGTTGTAATATTGATCGTTCAATCAGAAATCAGTGACTTTGCTAACTTAATTTGATAATAACTATCTTAAAAATCATTCCAAAACTGGATTAATTCCAATAGATCGATAAACTATTTTGCATTACAGTTAATTTAATTAAATTTTTATTGTGCCTTTGCATTACCGAATATCACAAAAAGTAATATTCACTTATTTACTAATAATGATTATTCATGTCTAAATTGAATTCCAAGGAACAAGAACCTGTAAAATCAATTTCTAAAATAATTTAAATTTAATTAAAATATGCAGAAGTTATAAAATAAAATTTGTGAAAGATATATAAAACCTTCTAATGAAATGAATTTTCACATGAAATTTGCTCTTGAAAGAGCCTCTCGGAACGCATAAAATGCATTTTGGAAATTTCGAAATGAGATTTTTATCGCATTTATCTTTCTTATTCTTTCTCAGCTGTGTTCTCCCTCTCTTTTTCTTCTGCAAGAAGAGTAATGATAGAAACAATAGTCATATATATTAGTATTAATGATAATATTAATTCTCCACAGATCCAAAAGCAAAAGAAAAAAAGTCATTTAATCGCACATTATGAGCACTATAATAACGGTCATAATTGACCTGTCTTAACACAAGTCAAAGTTCCAACAAGCCATAATAAAGTTTGTTTGAATGAAAGAAAAGAAAAGAAAATAGTGTGTTCTCCACAATTAATAATAGACAGTTAAACCAAAGTTGGAAGGTACTATGAATAATGAAAGTATATTGTCAGATTTCAAAAGCTCAGTGTAGCCTTCCTATTTTCCTCAGAACGAGAAAGGCTTCCACTCTGCAATGTGCTCTTTTACACTTCTGTGTTTCCTTCGCTCTTTAGTAATTCATAACTAATGTTTTTAATTTGTTTTCTGATATAACTAACGGTGGTCACTTCTTCAAATTGTCTATCTTAAAACCCTATATAATTAGCAAGAATAATTCTGTGTTAAACCAGATTTATGCACATTATAATCAATGCTTACCCTATTAAATCCCATTTCAAATCTGCTAAAAATCCCTCTGCTGTGCACTAATACCGTGTCACATCGTTCTCTGAAAAACGCACCACGTCACACACTCAGTGCATTAAAAACGCACTAAACTCTGCATGCACGCATGCCACTTGTCACGTTGGAAGCTTCGGAAGTCAGAATGGAGTTACAGGTGTCCGAAAGTGAGACGCTCGTTCGTCTGGAATTGGAAGGATCAAAAGTGATTTTCGAAAACCCTTCCGCTCACCTGCATCACTCATCTTCTTCCTCAGAAATCAAACCCTTCATCTTCTCCAACTTCTCTCTAGAACCAGACCACCTTCTCTCTACGATAACTCCTTACCTTCTTCTCCGATCCCATTTCCTGCACCGTAGAAACGTCCACTGCATTGAGAGCTATCCACTGGACCGAACAGTTTCAAGAACTGGAACTGGTAAGTCCCTTTCCGTAGCTCGTCTTTAGGGTTCTGGAAAAATAGGGTTTTTAGTTGCATGCAAACTTGTATTCTGAGTGTTCTGAAATCTGTGGTTAGATTTTGTTCTGGAAGAGTCAAGGACCTAGGCAAAACGTAGTTGGACGAAGCCATTTTACCTCTAGGTCAAGCTTGAATTCCAATCCGGGTAAGGGAAGCTTATATGTTTAATTTGTACTCGTTTGTTGTGAAATCTGGATTGCATGTGTGAAAAATATGAAGTTGAGCTGTTATGAATGGTTACTGATATCTGATATGAATTCTAGTTTGGATGGATCTGTCATGAACGAACACTGCTTGTATGAATTATATTTGATGTTGAATTTGATTTAAATGCATGTTGATTTGATTATGTATGAATGGAGTATGGTTATTGTGTGGTTGGAATGATTAAAATGTCGAAATCTGTATGATGAGAACGTTTGAGGTGAATTAAATCTGGAAATGAAAGTATAAAGTTTATAAATTTGAAATCTGGAAGATTCTGTTAAGCTTGTGAAAATCTGAAATTTTAGATCATTCCCTTTGCTAAATGACGCTCGTCACTGTACGGTATTAGACCGTTCGGTTTTCATTAAAATNTTCAAAGGATTGTTTCCTAAACCAATTCCATTTGCTAAACCTATTCCAAAGCCACTTCCTCTCATTAAACCTATTCCAATTCCATTGTATAAGAAACCAACACCAAAACCGATCCCCAGTGAAGAAGCAAAATTCAAAGGTATTTTCCCAAAACCTATTCCCAAAGTTAAGCCAATACCAAAGATAATTCCTGTTGTTAAGCCTATTCCCATTCTTAAACCTATTCCAAAGCCATTTGTTAAGCCTATTCCTATTCTTAAACCCGTTCCTAAACCCTTTGTTAAGCCAATTCCTATTCTTAAACCTGTTCCAAAACCATTCGTTAAGCCAATTCCTATTCTTAAACCTGTTCCAAAGCCAATTGTTAAGCCAATTCCTGTTCTTAAACCTGTTCCAGAACCTTTCGTTAAGCCAATTCCTAAGCCTATCCCTACCATTGAGTCAGAGGAATTCTTAAAACCAAAGCCTTTCTTGAAGAAGTCTATTCCTAAACTACCATTTGATCCCAAATTCAAGAAACCATTTCCGCCAATTCCAACTCCATAGAATGATGATAACACCCATTGCACCTCATTAGCAATAAAGTTATTATATCTTCCCTTACTGAGTGTGTTGATTTATATTCCAATCACAACCATTAGTTTCTTAATCCTATTGTATCCCTCTCCTTAATAAAATTTACGTCACTATTACCCTTTGTAAAATTATTATCTTAAAGTAAGAAATGATATTACTGATTTCTCATTTTAGTTTATTGCTTTTGTTCTTTAGAATTTGTTTCCTAATGTTGTGAACGTTCTCCATTAATCAGCTCTTGGGTTTGAAAACAAAATCATTTTTGTTTTATATTTTATAACAAAGCATAACTACTAATCATTGTTGTAATATTGATCGTTCAATCAGAAATCAGTGACTTTGCTAACTTAATTTGATAATAACTATCTTAAAAATCATTCCAAAACTGGATTCCAATAGATCGATAAACTATTTTGCATTACAGTTAATTTAATTCAATTTTTGTTGTGCCTTTGTATTACCGAAGATCACAAAAAATAATATTCACTTATTTACTATTAATGATTATTCATGTCTAAATTGAATTCCAAGGAACAAGAACCTGTAAAATCAATTTCTAAAATCATTTAAATTTAATTAAAATATGCAGAAGTTTTAAAGTAAACTTTTTGAAAGATATATAAAACCTTCTAATGAAATGAATTTTCACATGAAATTTGCTCTTGAAAGAGCCTCTCGGAACGCATAAAATGCATTTTGGAAATTTCGAAATGAGTCTTTTCATCGCATTTTCTTTCTTATTCTTTCTCAGCTGTGTTCTCCCTCTCTTTTTCTTCTGCATAAGAGTAATGATAGAAACAATAGCCATATATATTAGTATTAATGATAATATTAATTCTCCACAGATCCAAAAGCAAAAGAAAAAAAGTCATTTAATCGAGATAACATTATCAGCACTATAATAACGGTCATAATTGACCTGTCTTAACACAAGTCAAAGTTCCAACAACTCATAATATTAAAGTTTGTTTGATTGAAAGAAAAGAAAATAAAATAGTTTGTTCTCCACAATTAATAATAGACAGATAAACCAAAGTTGGAAGGTACTATGAATAATGAAAGTATATTGTCAGATTTCAAAAGCTCAGTGTAGCCTTCCTATTTTCCTCAGAACGAGAAAGGCTTCCACTCTGCAATGTGCTCTTTTACACTTCTGTGTTTCCTTCGCTCTTTAGTAATTCATAACTAATGTTTTTAATTTGTTTTCTGATATAACTAACGGTGGTCACTTCTTCAAATTGTCTATCTACATAATATGATAACTTAACACTAAAAGAAATCATTAAATATTAATTAATTTAAGAATAAAAATAATTACATATTATATTAATTAATTTAGATACAACTTTATGAAGTAAAAATTATTAATATATAAAAATAGTCTCAATTATGAAGTAAAAATTATAATTAGTTAACAAAATTAAGTCTAAATACTCTCTAATATTAACTATCAAGAAATGAATTAGTATCTAAATTAGATTTTAATTTTAAATTAGAAACTAATTTAGAATTAATAATAATAAATATTTAAAACTTGTTAATTAATTAAAGATTAATTTTAATTTTAATTTGCAAATCAATTATAATTTATTATTTATAATAATCTTATTTTATATATCAATAATTTTATATAATTTAGTCAACATAGTAACTGACGGTTAAAGTTAATTGTTATTTAATAATTTTTTAAAATAAAAGATTTATTCTCATGAAAAGATTATGCAGGTTGAACTTGTGTTCTTTTACTTATAGAGAAGCTTTTACATGAAGAGGTAACAAAACCAAGCTTGCATCAAGGTTATGAAGTTTTTGGAAAACTTGTTCCAAAGTTTCCTATAATTAAGCCTTTCCCAAAACCCATTATCCATATTCCCCCAAAACCAATTCCAATTGGGTGCTCTTAGTTTATCTCTATTTGAGAACTATGCTGGCATGCAGATAATGTGTTATCTTCAATGGTCTAAATATTCACTCTTGTAAATCAAATTTATATTAATATAAGTCTACACGTCACGTGTAACATACCAAAATTATAATATTTAACTATAAGAAAGTATCACATATTTAATATAAAGATTAGTTAATAAGTTGGAAAAATAAAGTTAAATTTACAGTCATCTCAAAACAATCATAAAACAAACTTTATGTGCAAAATAGATAGATCAAAACTATATACAAGAAACTAGTCTAAAAGGATAACTAAGCATATGCCATCCCTTCATTTAGAGTCTGCTCTATACTGATTTCATCAATCTCTACTAACACCCACGAAATGATCATAGTCAAGAAAAGAAACAAAAGAACATACAAACAAAATCACAAACAAAGGGGTAAGCTAGATATTAAAACAATTCATACAATACACTAATATATCAAACATCATAATTAAATCACATAGAACAACTAAATCAAATATCCTAACATGTCAAGACTTAGACTAGACTGTTCATTCTTGGAATGAATGCCGAGCTATGACGGGTTGTGTACTTGTGGTTGTCTATATTGCTTCATTGCCAACGGATTCCACCCTACCACACTCACAATGTTAGTCTGTTCCACGCTTTTGATCATACTAGAAGCACCCAAGACTAAGACGTCTTGCTACTCTCACTACATGTGTCAAACTTCTCTACTTGAGAATGAATGACCATTAGAGTGTCAGAATAACTCCCAAGATTGAATTACCTGCATTCATACTAATAACCCTTTGATGAAACCCTTAAGAATCCTCCTTAGGACTCTTATACATCTCATTTCATTCAAAAATAAGTTATAAACATTTGTACAAATCATACAACAAACCAATATGATGATATGCTCCAGATAAGCTTTCGGATCAGATACAACGGAAGAGGTTGCTTGGGGTTTGGTAGCAAAGGTGCAGGGATAAAATCAGTGGTGTAGGTGATGGTTGAAGAGCTGTTTGGTGTGGGTGAAAGCTAGCTCAGCCAGCCTTCCTCTGAAAGGAAGCTAGACGGAGAAGGGAAGCTTATTGGATTGACTTTTGGACAGAGTTTAGGGTGCTGGAAATGCATCAGTAGAGTAAAATTCAATATTATTCAAAAGTGCTTACAAAGGAGAGTTAGGAGTGCATTTATAGAAGGAATTCAGCTCCTACTCTTGGTATCTACGGGGCTAAATGATTCCTAAGAGTGTGGATCTAATGCCACATGGACAAGCATGAGGTGTGTGCTGAAGCTCTAAAAGAGTGCACAAGATACACGTGGAAAATGTGACTCTGCATTGTTGGCGCTTGGGCGGTGAAGTGGGTGCTCAACGCCACTCGGATGCTGGATCTGCTGCATCTAGCTCATGTGCGTTCAAGCGGCAAGTGATGGGTGCCCAACGTCAGCGAGTGGAAACTTCAAGTTTGCTACCCCTCTCCATGGGGCGATATATCTCTTATTGATCCTTTTGGCTAGACTCCTGGCTTCCATTCAAAACGTGTAAATAAGGCTTGTCCTTCTTGGTTGAGCCCTTCCAAGTCGTGTTGAGCTTCCTAGCCATGCCTCGAGTGATGGGTCCATGACTGGTCTTGGGACCTAAGTCATCACAATATGTTTTTTAAAACCATACACATAGGTAAAAGGATTAAAAAACAATTAAGAAAATAGACCCACTTGCCCAACTAACATACTCTACTCGCCCAACCACTGCCACTTTCTGCCAAAAATCCCAAAAGCTCGTCCAGCTAGCCAATTCTGCTGACCCAGCTAGCCTGCATAATTCTGTAGCACTAAAAACTGTAAAATTAACACTTCTAGACCACCCTTTACCTCTATTAACCCCTTTTACCAATTTCTAACACTCCTAGATTGGACTATAATTTATTTTAGACTTAAACAAAAATGTATAACATATCTTAAACTAATAGTCAATAGTTTATAACAAGACATAAACTCAAAAACCTCTAAATTCTCAACTTAGAGACCAATTTGATCTAAGTGGTTTAAGGGCTCTAACAAGTCAGAAATGACTTACCAATGACCTCTAAACTGACCAATTTGATCTAGAACCTATAACTCAAAATCTCACGACTCAAAACCTCAAATTTTCACTTAGAGGGAAGCTTTTACATTAAGAGGTAACAAAACCAAGCTTGCATCAATATTGTCAAGTTTTTGGAAAACTTGTTCCAAAGTTTCCTATATTTAAGCCTTTCCCAAAACCCATTATCCATATTCCCCCAAAACCAATTCCAATTGGGTGTTCTTAGTTTATCTCTATTTGAGAACTATGCTGGAATGCATGCAGATAATGTGTTATCTTCAATAAAAGTCTAAATATTCACTATGTAAATCAAATTTATATTAATATAAGTTTACACGTGTAACATACCAAAATTATAGCATTTAACTATAAGAAAGTATCACATATTCAATATAAAGACCCGTTAATAAGCTGAAAACATAAAGTTAAATTTACAGTCATCTCAAGACAATCATAAAGCAAACTTTATGTGCAAGATAGTTAGATCAAAACTATATACAAGAAACTAGTCTAAAACGATAACTACGCATCTGCAGTCCCTCATCTAGAGTTTGCTCCACACTGATTTCATCACCCTCTGCTAACACCCACCAAATGATCATAGTCAAGAAAAGAAGCAAAAGAACATACAAACAAAAGGGTAAGCTAGATATTAAAACAATTCATACAATACATTAATATATCAAACATCATAATTAAATCACATAGAACAATTAAATCAAATATCCTAACATGTCAAGATTTAGACTAGACTATTCATACTTGGAATGAATGTTAAGCTATGACGGGTTGTACACTTGTGGTGGCCTTTATTGCTTCATTGCCAACGAGTTCCACCCTACCACACTCACATATGTTAGTATGTTCCACACCTTGGATCATACTGGAAGCACCCAAGACTAAGACGTCCTGTTACTCTCACTACATGTGTCAAACTTCTCTACTTGAGAATGAATGACCATTAGAGTGTCAGGATTGTTGGGTACAAACAAAGTCGCACATCGCATAAAATATGAAATACCCATAGATTTATATACACATAAGATACATCCCTTAGTAAGAGGCCTTTTGGAGTGATACCTAAAGCAAATCCGTGAGGGCTTAGCCCAAAGCAGACAATATCTTACTATTGGGGAGATATATGGATATGTGTGTATATTAAACCCACACAACATCTGGTATCAGAGC